CGTGCTTTCTAGCACTGGTGACATAAGCAAGCTCAACAAGCTGGCAAAGACGCTGCGACCGGAAGCCGCTTGGGACTCAAGCGGCAGTTCATGGCTATTCGCGACTCCAGCAAAACGGACGCCGCCAAGCGGGAAAACCGGGAACCAGCCGGTCCAGGTCGCTCCGCGCCCCTCCGCGTCTCTGATGGCTTTCGCGGAGACGTGTTGTCGGCGCGGTGGCGAACGATGTAATTTGACGAAGGTCCGAATATTTCTTAAGTTTGCCTGAGTGATCATTAGTGTGGCGAAGCCTCAGTAGATTGTTTTCTTCTATTACGTGTTTGACAGCCCGTTTACTCCACAGCACACGGTCGCGTGCTTTCGATTTCTTGGATGGGGAGGAATCACGGAAAAACTTTTTGATTTCTTGTCTGTCTCGAATCACATTCAAAGTGACGACTCCTTGGTAACTGATACTGGAGGAAACACCAATGCTGCAGTCAAATAAATGGGAAGGTTCGATAGCTGTTTTTCTTGAGTTTGGTTGCGTTCGGTTGGCTTCAAGATTGAGCCACCCACGCCGGTCTGTGCGTTGGCTATTCATCTTGGCTGCTTTTCGCCGAAAAAGCCTCTGGACCACACTGAAGGAGTTGGGCAGATTTCGCAATTACTTGATTTGGGAAAACCTTCTCGCTGCATACGATTAATGAGGGAAATTATCCGTTTTCAAAAGGTGGGGGACGAGTTTCGCGACGTTAGAAGCTGTCACGGCATTTTGATCTATTGCGCCTCCCAATATTTATATTATACCCCCGTCAAAGCCAGCAGCAATATCCGTTTACAATGCCCAGGTTGACCGGCCACAAAAAATACTAATTTTCTCCGTTCAGGATTCGAAGCAAAGTTCAATGCAGAGAGGTTCTGCGTGAATTTCCGATGAAGACTCTCTTCAGTTTGTCTTCGTGCTGCCGGCTAGAACTATATGGGTGAGTTTAGGTAGTATCTCTCTTTCTGTCAACTATACTTTTATCCAGCAGTTCACCTTATAGCTAGTCAACTAAGCTCATATTTCAACCCGAAGAATATACTAATATCGCTTTAGTGGGACATAGTACGTAATATAATACATAACCCGCTCGTCAAAATGACTTCTCGATTGCTACTAAAACCTTAATTGAAATACGAGTATCAGCTGCTTAGTGGGGCGCCGGCGGGTTAACATGGCCCTTGGCTCAAGAAGCGGTTGCTTAATTTTCGTAATTTTCCTGCAGCCTGTGTTGTTGGCCGAGCAGACTGGAGCTGTTTTGTAAACGCGGATACGCACAAAAGCTCGATTTCGCGGACAGATAAGTCGCATGGTCGAGGCATGCGAGTTAGCTGTAAAGTTACTCTCTGTGGAACAATTCTATAGTCATCGCCGCTTTCCTTAGATGATCAAAACTGATTAGTATATTACCGTCTCTCCGGAGCTCATAGTTTCGGTTTTGAACGAAATCAGCGAAACGAAAGTTTGACACGAAAAGAACAAAAAAACACCGGCAAAACAAAACTATGCTTTGCAAGTTTATCTGCACCGGCTACACTTAACCATCTCAGTTCAAATACCTATAAAATTGGGCATTAAACAAAAGAAAATCTGTTAAATTGAACGCGCCACCTGTTCAGGCGGCCCGGCCGAGCCGCCGCGACCTGGACTCAGCCGCCATGTTTGTTTGGTGGGGGCGCCCCCTATAGGTCGCTGGAGTCGCGAATACACAGCCAAAAGTGTCTACACCAAATTATTCACGAAAGAAAAGTAAATGCACTAGACAAAAACTTTTTTTTTTTTATATATGAAAGATTTCGCACGCTGCCGTTGGCGCGGTAGCTTATGCAGTCGCAATCTTTACCGGGGAACACATGCGGGGCGTGCTACGTGCTTATCATCTTTGACGTGGTTTTGACACTTGTTTTGTGTTTTTTTTTTAATTGAAACAAGTGTGAAAACAACATGATAAGAGATAAGGCGCACGCGAACGGTGATAAGGCACGCGCGATGGTTTTCTGTGGACCATCTTATCTGTCGACGGACACAAAAAAAAACAGACCAACGAGTCATATACAGCTTCACTCTAATATAAGCGTGCCATTGTCATTAGGAAATAATGTCGATAATGTAGAACTTATCGCTGAACGTGAGAGGTATATTTCAATATTCATTTCAGCATCCCTTCCAGTGACGTTACCCGGCTGACGAATACAGGTTTCAGGAGCATGGCTTTCCCGCGGCGCCCAACAGCCTCGCAGGCAAAGCACGCTTTACAGGGGACACGAAACGAAAGCTCAACAACGCAAACGCGTCGCTCCACTGGCGTTCCGCCAAAACTCAGGAAGGTGCAAAAGAGCGGAGCTAGCAAAAAGCGAGAAGCGCGAAGAGGACAGAAGGGGGAGCGGGGAGGACCTAGCGGTGCCTTAGTCGAGGGGCGACCAGGCGTTAAAGTGGAGGGCAAATGGGAAACGATAGGAGGGAGAGGGCAAACGAGAACCTCGAGATTCGGTCCGGCGTAAAAACCTGGCTCCCGGAGCTAAATTGCTTGGCTACGGTCCTTTGAACCAATAGCTGACATCGCGGAAGTAATTAACGAGGGAGCGACGTTCAATGATTGAACCCGCGGAAAACCAATACCGCACCAAGAAAAAAGCAGGTTCAGTTTTTCCCTTCTTTTTCCCCTTATAAATATTTAAGATGTTTACTACTTCGCGTTCGAGGTCGATTTTGTTGTTGTCCTTGGCAATGAAACTTTTAAATAAGTCCAAGTTCGAGAACGCAATAGGTTTACACCTCGATTATTAGGGACTTTTAGTATATCGCTTCCGGGCTCCTGTCGTGATATAATGCATGCGCAAAAGTCCCCGGCAGAATATCTGCTATCCCAATTGTAGTTATTAGAGCGATCTACAAAAACTCTCTATCATAAAGATGAATTCAACGTCCCATCATGTACTATATATTTGTACCATAATCTACGAATTCGGAACCGTTACCTGCGTAATATATATATATATATATATATATATATATATATATATATATATATATATATATCGAGACATTCTCCTTAAAGAGATTACTCAAAGACAGTGCTGAGAATCTACCACGCTTAAAGTAACGAGGATATCACGTGGGCGCGATTTTCCTACGACGCTAGGACCCTGTACCGCGTAACAAAACCGGTTCAAAGGACTGTCCTTTTGTCAAGACCACGCAGAAAGCTGACGGGGAAAACTCACTGGAGCGGATCGAATATGATTCACCGAAATATTAATAAAACAAAAACTTTCTTACAACCCAAAAAGGCTAAGCTACTTTCCACAACTGTAACGCTGGTAACGACAGGTTGTCCCATCGGCGTGGGCAACGTGATTTCTACCTCGATGGCGTCACTAGTCCGTCGAATGAAATTTGGGTTCCGTCTGCGCCTGATGCGTCCGACATTTTGACGCATCACTGCTTTTACTTCCCTTGCCCATCGGAAAACGAAACAAAAACAAAAAAAAGCTCGGGCGAAGTTGTTTTGAGTTGCCTTTTGGTGACATGCGTGGTCAGCAGCGTCAGACAGTTGCTGACGGGCCGACGAACGTATGCGCATTTCCCTCGCTCCACTGCGACGCAGGACACTTCCTGGTTCGTCAGCAGTTCCCTCCTGTACATGAATATTTCCGTATCGAGTAACCCAAGAGCCTTTGTATTCCGTCGCGTACGCTACCGGAGTCCTTTTTAGGTTGTACAGCGACGTCTTGAAAGCCCTATTGAAAGCCTGCACACCGTGCCAGGCTTTGAACGTTACCCGCCTTTCGATTCTGTTGCTATTGTTGTCTAGAACAAAAGGAAGCTTGTATCGAAAACCCCTTTAAAAATATCCGGACTTTAATTGTCATAATAACTACCGACAGCAATACTATGCACATGGAGTGTCTTAGGCAACCCAATTAGGATTCCAGCGGCAAGTTAATTTCGTAAGTTCAGAACAACAATAGGCTTCAATGCCTCGTCACACACAAAAGAAAAAGCCCATCGACGAACAATATACCCGACTTACGCAAAACTCGCCCCCACAAAACTGGGGCAACAAACACGAAACCAACTGTTTCTTCATATCTCTAATTTCCACTCGCCGTTCGTTGCGTCACCCGTCAGCACCGGACTATCGTAAGACCTTTGACCTCTAGGCGAAAAACCGCGAGAGGGCTTGAATCCGAGCCTGAGAATGCAATGAATATCCCACATAGAGACTACAACGACAGCGCCCGCTAGCATTACATTACGTAAGGGATTGAGTCACGGTAAGTTTTGCCCCAGCATCATTTGCAACGGAGAATGACGTGCTTGCTTCAGCGCCGCCCTTCAAATCTCGTCGATGTTGGGAGAAGGAGGGGGGGGGGGGGGGGGGTGATACCAACGTCGTTGGCGCAAAAGGTGGAAAGTCTCTGATTCGGCAGATTTAGAAATACAGAAACGGATACCGCGCGCGCGTTACTGGCGAGTGCTTTTAGAGTTCAAACTTGCGCTCCTCTGTAAAGTAACTGTGTTATGTCTATGTTTAGACACGGGAAAGTCCGTCCCAATGTGCGCCTAATGTCTCCGCCGTAGATGAAAAAATTGAGCCAGAGCAGTACAACCGCTAGCCTGGGGTCTCTAACGTGCACCACGCAGTAGCGATACACGACCGCACGCCGGTACGATTCTCATCCAGATCGAAATGGGCAGGGGTGATAGTTGAACCCAAGACCTCTGGGTTCTGCAGTGCGAGCTGTCGCACCTCTTCTGTAGAAAATCGAGTAATATTTTTATTTGATAAAATCACAACTGCAATCCAATGGGCTTCGATCTTTTCTTGAGGAAGGAACAAGGATGATACAGAAACTGTGAGCGTCATCGAAGCTTTCCTTGCGTTATCAATTATATAGCATTAGTAGTTATTTAAATCTCACTTATACCGAGAAACTCCCGCAACACAGGGTTGATGACTACAATGGCTCACCCAGCCAAGACCACGGACGTTGGGCTGTTGATCGGGAAAAGTGGAAGCACATACCTGCAAGTAGAAAATCGTGTCATGAATATAAAAATTCTGAGCTAACTCAGGAAATTTTATTTGAGAAAAAAAAGAAGAAGAAAAACAGTTACCCAGACAGTCTCCCCATCCTCCGCAATACATTACGAAACACACTGTATTGTAAATTAAAAAACAAAAACGGATGAATATTTTTTTTTGAGGCCGTTACGGGTTTTGTATTATTGTAAAATAATACCTTGTATTATTTTGTAATTTGGTTATTTATATATGTCTATGCTATCGGGAAGATGCCGATCAGTTTGAGTAACTTCCAGTTGAATTCATTTTTATTTTTCTGTCCGTTTATGTACCCTACCTATGTGAGCTGTAAGGAACAAGTACGTCGTCGGGCTTGTTAGCCTTTAGTACTGGCCCCTCTTTCGGAGCCTGTCCGAAAGATAATAAACGAAATAAATAAATTTTCACAAGCCCGAGTTTAACGGAAAATATAGGCATGTTTAATGTCGTGCCAACCTAGCACAATGGTGTCTGTACTCTGTAGCCCATATTTGGGTGACCAATGGGCTCTCTCTCATAAACATGAAGCAGCATGGAGGAAGGCACAGTCATGCAATTAAAGCTAATAACTCATTGATCAGGTGTGCACCTGCAAAGGGCGCAGAGTTCGCTAGTACCACGGCCTATTTTCGACAGCAGTCGTAGGATCACGGCACATTCTGCGGCCTCAGGCTTCGGGATGTTAGTGTGAACAAACATGTTTTGTTTTCGTTCACTCAACGCGTGATTCCAAAAAAAATGTTGAAGTTTTTCAAGTTTTTTTTTTTTTTTTTGCGAGGAAGCAAAACTTAGTTTTGCCCGGCCTACACTTTTTGAGGCTCGGAAACAACAGTGAGGCAACTATCATCCTTGCCCTCTGTGACCTTCGAGCACATATAGAGCAAAGGACATCCGCCAGGCGAAGTGGAAGGCAATCCCGATCGAAGAGCCAGAAACGAAGCTATCGCTTGTTCAGTCCAACATTCGCCCACTCCGCAGAACCCCAGCAAGGACCAGCGCGGAACAATTCAACATTACATGCCACCGGCGCTGTCTACAATATCACGCTGGACGCGACTGTACACACCTCGAAACGCTCGTAAGTATACTTCCCAACGTAAGATAAGGACCAACAATTACTTCGATCCCAAGAGGGATGCAAACGCGAAATAATTTCTTTCCCGCCGAGGACGCCTATATTACAAACGGGAATGATGCGTATTTCATGTATCATACACCAGAGGTTCGTCGTCTTGTTCGTCCCTCTCTCAGAAAACGTCGCAGCCTCGATGTAAATATTCAACCACCAAATCCTCACACAGCACGTATAAGCACCTATGAAACCAAAGTAATCCATCAAAATGCCGCAAAAAAGAAAAGAAAAAAAGAAAAAAAAAAGAGGTTTAACTTTTTGTGAAGTGAATGCAGCTAGAATCGCCCCAGGTGGCGCGTCAGAGAAACGCCTAATTTAGCACAAGCTTGGCAATCCTAGGTTTCTAACTTGGGCCTAATGCGGTTTTGTTCCAATGTGTTCGTTAGTGTCAGAGTAGATTTCTCAAAGTCAAAAATCAAAGTCAAATTTAGGGGTTTTACGTGCCAAACCTACGACGGGCATCTGGCACGCCCCAGCGGAGGACTGAGGATTAATTTCGACCACCTGGGGATCTTTTGACGCGCAACCGAAAGCTCGGTTACACGGCGCCTTCTCCGCAATAAGCCTCCGTCATATTGCGGGCAGCTCGGTCGGGATTCGAACCCGCAACCTGGGGATCCGTAGGCCGGCGCTCTCGCCTCAGAGCCACCAAGGCGGCTAGAGTAGATTTCTCTTGCGTTTCCAAGGCTTTTCTCTGGTTCACAACTTAATTGCCAGAGTACCAGACTCGATCCAAGGCTGCCATGTATGAACCAAAGGACTAATGGCGAAGCCTAAAATCTGGCACATGCTTGGCGATTTAGGCCTAGCTTAGCGATTTAGGCCTGGCTTGGCGAAAAAGGGTTAAGCATACAAAAACCAAATTTTCGCCCAAATAACTGCACTACCTGGGACGGCTGCGCCAGAAAAAGTATCGCGCCTACCCGTGCCCGCCCGCGTGACGGTGCACGGTCCCAGCTGAGGCGTATTTCACCCCAGCGAGATACCAGTGAAAAAGAGTCGGGAAGACAGAGCGTCACGTCGGCTTGAGAGCGCGGAAAGTGAAAACGCACCAATGGATAAGACTCAATTCAAAATATACAACAAAAAACTATGAAAAATATGAAAAAAAAAAAAGCTACCTATAACCATTTTCGATTAAATCGAATTTCACTCCGGAAGCGATCGAATTTTCTGGTCGAACACCAGATGGGGCAAAAGAAGGCCCCTACCCTTCCCTTGCCCAACCCCAGAAAGCTTCCGTTAAATAAGGCTGCGATCGTTTCTATTTTTTGTTAAATATTCTTTCCATGAAAGAGGCAAAAGGAATAAGACGTCTTGTTCAAGATATGCGACGGTAACTGAAACAGGCTACTTCACTTTCTGGCACAGATGTTTTAATTGTTTCGTTTTTTTTTTCTTTCGCGACAGAAGACAAACAACATAGGATTCAGAAGTTTTACTGCGCAAGCGTTATTAAACGTTCCGCGTCACGAGGCCATACATGGTCCCTGTCTAAAAGCGTACAGTCGAAACGTCAAATGAAGTATTCAGCAAGGCGCAGCTGCTGCTAAACTATTTACTTCTCCACAGTCTGATTTTCTGTTTCATTTTCAAATAAAATACAAATTATCTAAATAGCTTTAAAGGACATGTACGGGCGGAATGACCATATTCTCCAATCATAAGAGAAGAGACACAAAACGAGAAAGCGGAGAACGAAGAAAACAAGACAGAACGTTCGTACGAAAGGAACTGACAACCCGTGGGAAGTTCGCAGAAATATGTGCGCAGCAAATCCTCTGGACGACGTAATTACACATATTTCATCACCGCCCTTTCGTTAGTTTATGCAGTGAGAAAAAATCATAAAAGAAACTGATATACAAACTATTTTGGCGTGCAATCGTGATCAAACCCTCGTTGCCTCATCGGCCTGAACCATAAGCAAAAATTTAACACAAACAGAACTGTTAGTAATGTGTTTTCCGAGTGACAAACGCATTAATAATAAGTACGATGAAAAGAAAGCAAAAATCCGCTTGGCGCTCGCGCGGAAACGAAAACCCGACATATAATGTAAATAACACCACCACCTTCATTTATTTTCTCTTGCTCTCTCTTTCTGTCTATGTTTCCTTCTTTCTTTCTCTCCCTGTAGTACATAAACTTCAACTCAATTTTCCTTTACCATTTTGCAAGAACAACGAAGAAAACTGCATTTTTCCAGCGAAAACGGAACACACGATCGACGGAACAGGGCTCATCTTGTTATAACGTACTATCTTGGGGAAATATACTGAAAATGACAAAACACGAGCGAAGCCTGTTCATCAATTTCGGAGCAGCTCAATAATAATTCATTATTTAACCATAGCTTTTCTTTTTTCGCGCTGCATCACGAAAAAAGAGGTACTTTTGGTATTCTGATTTCGCTTACAGACGCCGTGAAATAGCAGTACAACCACAAGAAGAAGAGGCAAGGTGTGAACACGTGCGGTGTTTAGACAGACTTCGACACGACGGCTCGAATTTCCGCCATAAATCGCTCCCGCAACGAAATTTCTACAAATTTATGACGACGACGACGTGGCACTACGGCAAGGGTAACGCGAGTGCCGGCGGCCACCAAAGGTACGCGAAATTTCCGAAGTTACACAATATGCAAAACCAACATCAAACCCGCGTCACGAACTCGGGACAGGACCAATCAGGAGGTATACTCGGAGTATTCCTTCACTAACCGCATGCCCAAACAACTAAGAAAGCATCACGCAAACTGAAGCTCATCAGCTTACATCAATAAACCTGTCCCCGACCCAAGAACAACACACTGCTGCTCACCACTCAGCTTCGTTCACCTCTAAGCTGACAGTGCGATGGGAGCTACGCCATCGCCCGGCCAATCAATTGCCTCTATTTCATCATTTACCCCCCCCCCCCTCTCCCTCTTTCTCTGCGCGTGGGTATAGACGGAAGCGTGACCACGTGACGAAAGATAGGCCCATGACTGGTTCAACGAGCACAGTTTCCACAACACAGTCTGCTTATAGATGAAGGGAGTATAATGTGTTGTAACCTGAGCGACGCGCGGTTAGAGCTTAACCCGGTACAAAGTACGCCGACCCGACCTTGGGCCCCTGTTAAGACAATTATGCGGCAATGCTTTTAAAAAAATCGACAGAAAGTAAAAAAAGGTTAAAAAAAGACCGGTGAGTTTCGACGACGCAGCGACGAAACTCCCTCCCCGTACAACGAAGCGTAAAGCGCCTCAATCCTGTAATGGCTGTCAGGATGAGTCGTGCACCGGGCGGAAGGAGCGGCGAACGCGGGAACCGGAGAGGCACATGGGCCCTCCGTTCGCCCGGGAATCGATCGAAGCCCCAGGGAATCGAGTTAGCTCCCCGCGACACGGGGAAACACCGTTCACAAAGAGGGACTGCAGCCTCGAACAAAGCACCCTGCAACGAGCCCGGATGCATGCGAGGCATTGTGGAGAAGAACGGTACACTTATCAGACGTCCGGAAGGATTTAAAGGACCCCTTCAGCCACGACACGATGTCCAAGTATTTGGAGGGGGCTATACTCGCGGTGTAACGCTGCAACGCCCCTCGAACTCGCACTCAACACTTTCAAAGTCGGGCCACACTGCTAATACGTCAGACAAAAGAGACTCTGCAACACGAGGCACCACGGCATTCGTCGTTCGAATGCCGCGTGCATTATCCTTGAACTCATTGCCGTGCGGCATTCGAAGCACGGACCTCGCGGTGACTCGCGTTCGAATCTGTATGCAGACTGTCTTTTGGTTAATGTATAAGCAGTGGGTCAGCGGCTTTTAGTGTTCTC